GAGAGTGTTGGTATATGGACATAATCCCACCATTCAAGAGACTGGGGCAGGAGGATCCCAAGTTGAAGCCAGACCATACTGCAACCCTGTCTTAAAAAGAGAGAAAACAGTACAGGGTATGTGTGTGTGTTAAATAGCACACTGTAAGTTAATTAAAAAGTCTAACACCTTATAAGCAATGGAAATTTTAATCATATTTAACAGTCAAATCTTACTTTTATGTAAGTGTATGGAACTTCTTATTTTCTTTTTTAAAAGTGTTAACTCAGACTGAGTGTGGTAATGCACACCTACAATCCCATCACCTGGAAGCTGAGGCAGGGATATTAAAAGGTTGTCTAGCCTGAACAACATGAAACCTTGCTTCAAAAACCCAAATAGATAAAGAAGTAGATATATTCAGGGAAGACTTGTTAAAAGCTGAGCCTTGTATTATTCCTGTTATCTTTTAGTAACTTCCTCAACTCTCCCACACAATGTGACATTGAGCAGAAAACGTTTGCATGGACTGACAACTGCTTCACAAATAAAAATGCTACTTTCTTTTCTGTTTGTGACCATTAGCTCTGTTTCAGAGAGGTGGCACACCCTTGTATCTAAAATGAAAGCCTATAAAAAAACCGAAAGGCACATTATGTCTTAAATGAGTTTTCTTGGTTTCATAAGCTTTTCTTATTTCTCCTTCAGAGGGCTTCAAAATTAAAATTAGCATTTGAAAGTATTCAAAAATCGTTGAAACTTGTGCTTAGCTTTGGTGCTCTCCAGGTGCAGCTCTGAATGGAACAAACAGACCACTTGCTTTGTTGGAATCTGGAAAAATTTACAACCACATTGACAAAAAGATGACACAAATCTATGATCTCACAAATAATTAGGACCTTGCTTTTGGGTCAAACAACAACAACAACAACAAAACCCTTAAATATAAAAATATAAGGACTTTTATGCTATTTATGAAACACCTAAATATCACTTCCTGACCATGTGAAAAAAGAGCAAATCAAAACAGTATTTTTACTCTCTAAGACTACATACACTGTTTTGGGGCTTAAAAATATAAGATATCACTAACCACAGGTATGATATAGTGCAATACAGAAAACATACCAGTGCAGTAACACTAAAGAACAAAAATGCATCTAAATGGAGTGCCTAAGTACATGCAGTGTCACAACCCTGCCTGGCTGTCTCGTCTCCAGGTGCTTAAGGATCACACCTTCTGACACAGTGACAATACAAGTTAGATACTCTTTGTTAGCCCTACAAATAGAAGGCTTCACACAAAAGGTGATGATAAAATATAAAGAAATGAGAAATTAATCAGTCAGAAAAAGAGAGAAACAGTGTTGCAGAAAGAAAGGACAATGAAGCATCCACCTTCACAAGCATGCCGTAATTAACTTTAAGCATTTTATTGTGCAATTTACAACTATTTGTGTGTGCATCCTGACATTCATGTGCAGAGCAGAGGATAACTACATGAGTTGGTTCTCTCCTTCCTCTACACAGGGGCCAGGGAGAGAGCTCTGGTTGTCAGGCTTCTTGGCAATGGACGGAGCCATCTTGCCAGCTCTACCGCTCTACTCCACAATTTATTTTGAGCTTGTGTGTGTGTGTGTGTGTGTCTGTGGGAGTATGTGTGTGTCTGTGGGAGTGTAAGTGTGTGTCTGTGTGTGAGTGTATGTCTGTGGGAGGGTAAGTGTGTCTGTGTGTCTGTGTGAATATGTGTGTGTATCTGTGTGAGTGTGTGTGTCTGTGTGTCTCTGTGTGTGTGTGTTTATGTGAGTAAAGGAGTGGGTAGTGATTGTGGTATTGAAACAAGACTTCATGTAATCCAATCTAGCTTGAAACTTGGCTACATAGGTGGGATGGTCCTCCTGTATCCAGACTCAAGTTCTGAGATGACTTGAAGTAAACTTTTTCTTAAATATCTTCTCTCTGCACAAGCCCCAGCATCTTTGTTTGTGACAGGCTCTCTTGTTGCGGGCCTCCACCTCTAAGTGCTGGGTTTACCTAGATGTGGTACCTCAACTGAGCAGGCAGTGTACTTTATCTGTGGCACCACAACTGAACAGGCAGTGTACTCTCTCTGTGGCACCACAACTGAACAGGCAGTGTACTTTCTCTGTGGTACCGCAACTGAACAGGCAGTGTACTTTCTCTGTGGTACCGCAACTGAACAGGCAGTGTATCTCTGTGGTACCACAACTGAGTGTACTCTCTCTGTGGTACCACAACTGAGCAGGCAGTGTACTCTCTCTGTGGTACCACAACTGAGCAGGCAGTGTACTCTCTCTGTGGTACCACAACTGAGCAGGCAGTGTACTTTCTCTGTGGTACTGCAACTGAGCAGGCAGTGTACTTTCTCTAGGTTACAAATCATTTCAATTATTTGGTAAACATTTTTGAAGGGAAAAAAGTGTGGTGCATGCCAGGTTTTGAAAAATTCCAGATGTATAAAATGAAACTATGGAACAATTCCATGTCACCCAGATCAAATGTAAATCTAACAGAAGAATGAGAAATGTGATTATCATATACATCATAAAATATGTGCCTTAAAAGCTGAGGTCACAGAGTCTGCGTAAAGTTCAGAAAATACCAGTCACACTCTGACTGGGCAACAGTGCAGTTTCACCAAGAAAGAACTTACACTGGACGTCTTCTTGGCCAAGGGTAAACACAAAGATACAATACATGCGACTGTCATACTCGGCCATGTGCACTGGAAAAGTGACACGTGGCTCAAAATATGTAATTTTAATAACAGGGAAGGCTGGCATGGCACCTGCACCTGTAATCTGGGCATTGAGGAGGTAGAAACAGGAAGGCCATGAGCTTAAGGCTGACCTGGGCTATGTAGTGAGATTCAATCTTGGATGGGGGTGGGCATGATGGCATTATTCTATGATTTGTCCAACTTTTTCATCAAAATATTAGAGATTCTATTTATTACTATTTCATATACAGCGAAACAAAAGGAATTTAAAACACAAAATACAAACTTTTAGGATAGTAAGAATATGTCTCAAGGAAGGAAGGAGGGAGGAGGGAAGGAAGGAAGAAAGGAAGGAGATTGAAGGGAAGAAGGAAGGAGGAGGGAAGGAAGGGGGAGGAGGAAGGGAGGGAAAGAAGGAAGGAAGGAAGGGGGAGGAAGGAAGGAAGGAAGGAAGGAAGGAAGGAAGGAAGGAAAAAACAAAAGAACAACTGTTAAGGAGATGACTCTCTGGTACAATACTTGCTATGTAAGAATGAGGACCTGAGTTCTGATACTGACACCCACAACGTGTGCCTACAACTCCACTGGTAAGGACACAAAGATAGGCAGCTCCCAGGGCTTGCCAGTCAGCCAGTGTGTCTAAGATGGAGAGCTCCAAATTCAGTGAGGCCCTATCTGAGCAAGTGAGGTGAAAGCAATAGAAAACCTTTGGCCTCTGCAGAAGCAGGAGCAGGCAAGCAGTCACTTGCCACATATACACCCCCCAACACAATTTAATTTCTTTGTAAAACACAATGAAGTTAGGAGAAACCATCTTTGCTATACTACCTAACCAAAATATTTGTTTAATGAACGTAAATATCTCATATTTGCATTTTTATTTCCTGCATTACCTCTGAGAGTTGCTTTGCTATGAACACCAAGAGCCTCACTTAACCTGGGATCTTGTCTGCTATCTCCACTTACGTTAATGAGTTCACCTGTATATGGTTTTTCCCGCTGCATGTCAATAGTCCTTATTGTTTTCTGTTCAGAGCAACATCACTGTTACATTTTCAGTTTCTGGACCATTCCCTTTTATCCCCATCCATAAATGTTAAGTGGACTCAACAACTAAAAGTACACAGGAAGTTACAGCACCACATGCTTTGCTGTTTGTGTTGAGAATGGCAAACGCATAGTGGTTAATCAACAGACAATAAGATGGAATGCTGCCCACACTAAAATGCTAGCAGTAGAGGCTGGAGAGATGCTTCAAAGGACTCAAGCTCATTCCCAGCACCCACAACTCAGTTCCCAGCAGTTCACAACTGCTGATAACTTCAGCTCCTGGGATCTGACACTTTCCTTTGGCCTCCACAAACACACATGTGGCAAGTGAATGCATGTATATATGGCACACTTTTTAAAAACCTAGCAATAAAATTCTACTGTACTTTATTACTTATGGTAATATGTCACAGTAGCTACAATCTGAGCAATTTAATTAAGAACTGGGTATTACTTAGCCATGCACAATGGATGACAAGAAGCCACAAGAAATCACATTTCTGTGTGCATTAGAAGGCAAACAATGCATGCAAGAGTAAGAAGCCACAGATCTCCAAAAGATAGGAATAGACATGAACTCATTTTCTATCAGGAGTATTTGCTTTCTCATTCCACTTGCCTCATCAGCCATCTCTCTTCCTCCTCATTGCCTCCCTTCTCCCTCCCTTGGTGTACCCCAGGCTGGCTTAGAACTTGCTGTGCAACTGACGACCTCCACCTTCGGATCCCCTTGCCTCTACCTCCTATGTACATGCACCAGCACGCCTGCTTGTGCTGAGGATAAAGCAGGGCTTCTGAGTGCTGGGCAAGTACTTTAATAACCAAGCTAGATACTCAGGAGGAGTCTCTATATCAAAGCAAGGCGAGAGAGTACTCGTGCACAGAAACAATCTACTAGTGTAAGAAGAGGCTGGAGCAGCATCCCTCGTCTGAGGAGAGACCCTTCAGGACACATGCAGTTCCCAACTCTGATCAGAAAGGGCCACACCTAAGGAATGAGGACCACACTCTGTCTTCAGAAGAGGAACTTAAAGTTTATGGTGTTTCAAATCATGAGCTAAGTGATCAATCAGCCTGTGAGAGGATCCAGGAACACAGCAATTCCGGCAAGCTGAAATGCAGGACATGGGCCTGGAGGCCAGAGCTAGGTGACACTGCTAATGCACGAACTGCTCACAGGGATAGTTTGTGCTACTGCCCGTAGCACTTAGAAGTCAGGCTATGTAGTTACCATTCTGCAGTCCCATCCAGAGTTGCTTGTGGTCTTTTTTCTGCATCTCATTGATGACCTGACTTTTGTGCTTTAGAGCATCAGCTTCTTTCATACATGACATAAAATGAGCTTCGACTGCATCCTTGGATGGACAGTGTAGAAGGTCCTTTTCTGGAAAACTCTATCAAAGGGAAGCACACAAAACATGCATACAGATACAAATTAGCTTCTAAAGAGAACTTCCCCCATTTGCCAATGTTCCCAGCAAAACTAGATTTTATTATCACAGTAACTACAAATACTTAAAAAAAAAAATTAACTTAAAAAACATTACCAGTTTGACACAATCTTCCCAAATAATCCTCATCTGTGAGGTTGTCTTTTTCAGGTTCCTATGCATAACACATGTACAACAGCTACAACTGACACCAGCAATCACAAATGAGTGGTCACTGGAGTCAGAGAGGGATCTGCAAGAGGGCACTGACATTCCTCTACACTTACCTTCAAAGAAAGGCCGACCTCGAGCTGGCCCGGGGAATCAGGCATGGGAGACCTGGCCCCACTCCTCATCTGCCATATGATGGCATGGGCTGAGGATGTCTGAAGTGGGTGGGAGAGCAGGCCCTGCACCTCACTTGGGCAGGACAATAGAGCCAACCCCATTTGTGATGTGGGTGAGCAACAAGAGGGTATACACGAGGAATCCTAGTGAGGGCCCAACAATGATAATACAGAAAAAACCAGAGGCCTCAAACCAGACCAAATAACTTTTTGCAATGAATACTTACAAATAAAGGTATATCAATTAAAAAGAAAAAAAGGCCCACCTCAATCTAGGGAGGTTCTGAAATTCTTCATGATAGGAACTCAGGGAAAACTGGAGGGGAGGCAGTAATGTAAGAGAGAGAGCTTACTCATTCTAAGCAGCTGAGTGAAGCGACAGGTCCCTCCTCACAGCCCCTGGCTCCCACCTGGGACTGCATCTCTTTCACATCTACCCAAGTGACAATAAAAAGATTTGTTTTTCAAACCTCACAATGAAGTTACAAAAGATCCTTGATTCATTACATTTTTATTTTTCCTAGTATGCATTAGCCATTGTGTAAAAACAAGCTTATCTTTCTGACCTAAACAAATTCTCAAAGATAAAAAGTGCGGTGCAATGTTTACTCTCTCATTTATCTTTCAGATCAGAAGCATGACAAAATAAACTTTATTTCACTTTTACATATTCTGAAAATTTCCCTTTATGTATCAGTTTACTTGGAGGTGTCTTCATTTTTTTTGGGGGTGTTTTTTTTTTTTTTTTTTTTTTTTTTGTCATTTTGCACACACACTTCCCATCACATTCTAAGGACCAAACCCAGGACTTTCTGTGTTCTACCATTGAGCTAAATCCTCCAATCTCCCACTAGAGATTATAACTGTTGCTTAATTAGAATATTCATCAACTGTCTGCAATGTATCTAGATATGTTAGAAGTAACTTAAATAGCATTAAATCAAAGCATTACCTTATGAGGGGAAAAAAAAAACTGAGCCCAATGGAAATACCACAAAACTGATGGTATTTTATTAGAACAATAAAGTAAATTCAAAAAATACATTTTCTAAAATACATTTCCATCTCATAAAAAGAATCACCTATCTGATTAAACATAAGCTCTCGCTGTTTTATCACCAACTCACTTCTAGTACTAGGTTCACCTTTGGAAAGAAAAATATAGTCACAGTTTATAAATTTACTTTAATAAAAATCATAAAAAAAAAAGTTTCCCAAGATTACTGTGGTACACATACACAAAAGGTTGGGAAGGGAGGGCATTTTTCCCCACAAGTATTTCTTCTAATGTACTATTTTTCAAGAAAAGAAAGAACATATTGGGAAAAACAATCCTGTGCCTGTTATATTCCCACATTCAGGAGGTGGAGGCAAGAGGGACACAAATTTGAGGCCAGCATGGGTTATAGACTCACAGCTCACCTCCTCCTGTGCCTTCCCTACCCATAATCCCAAAGCTGAGAGAAGTTAAACGCCAAACATGGTAGCACATGCCACAAAATCCATCATTTGAAGACATGAATCAAAGTCATGTGTGGTTTGGGGACCAGCCAAAACTATAAAACCCTGTCTTAAAATACAAAAAGAAAAAAGAAAAGAAAACCTAAACAAACCAATGCTAAAATAAGTGTACCAGACACCAAATGTGCTAACATTGCCCAATTTTCTAAAAATTGTATTTCTACCAAGGTGTAACCTACAAGCTTAGCTACAATCAATTATCAGTCCTCCTTGCTACCATCTAGAGGGTATTTAATTCTCATCGTGTCTCTTAGGTCCTATTTGTTAAATCTTTAGATTCTCCCATAAGAGTACCGTTGCTAATTCTCCCCTCTACGCACTGTTTCACATATAGTCTTTCCATTTAAACACTAACCAAACCCAATCACAAGCCTCATCCTCAGCTTCTCTTTGGCTTAAACTCTCAAGATGCATCCCCACACATTCACACCCAAGCCTTTTAGTTCTTATCAATTCCCTGCCATCAGTTAACCACACTGGCTAGTTACAGAAACACCTTTCAACTGGCTGTTGTAAGCATTCACCTACACAGTGACTGTTCTCCAGTCACACACAAGTTTCTTCTATCAACAATTCCCATTTTCATCCTTTCCTACCCTGTTTGCTTTTCCAAAGCTATTCTTAAATATTGGTGTGGTTTGTGTCTAAAGTATGTAACCTAGGACCCCTTTTCTTTTTCATTCCATATCCTCACCTTGAATAAGATTACATATTTCCATACCACTTAGGAACTAAAGATTATCAATATTGTTTCCCACCAGGATCCTTCTTAGAACCTTCAGTCCACACAAGTCTAGTAGGTGTCCTAGAGGTATATGCAACTCAACAAATCCAAAGATAACAAACTAATGCCACCACTACCCACTCCGAATTTTCCAGAGCAAACCTAGTCCAATACTTTATATCCTACATAGATCTGGAAATTCCCCGCTTGCAACACCCCAGGCTAAGAACTACTCACAGTTCTGAAAAACCTTGCAACAGCACCCATGCAGTGTGTTCTGTTACTGTGATAAAACACTGATCGAACAAATTTACAAGGGAGGAAAGGACTTCTCTGCTAATACTTCCAGGTAACAACCTATCAATGAGCAAAGTCAGAGTAGAAATTCAAACAAGAACTTGAAGCTGGAACCATGGAGGAATGGCGCTTGCTAGTTCACTAACTGGGAGGCTTATCCTCAGCCAGCTTTCTTAGACAGTTGAGGACTACCTGCCCAAGTTATGGTGCCACCCACTGGGACTGACCCCTCCAATGTTAGTTAACAATCAAGGTAATCCCCAACATACATGTGCACAGTCCATTCTGATCTGGGCAACCCTTCCTCTTAGGTGACTCCAGGCTGTGTCAAATTGATAGTTTAAGCTACCAAGGACACACGCCTATAATTTTACACTCTTAATGTTTTTGCATTTGGAGTCACAGTGACCTTCAAACACTAAGACCTAACCTTCTCCCTCAACTTTTTCTTCTTTTAGGACATAATCACACCATCAAGATTCTAAATTACCTCAGGGTCTGCTTACCTACCTACCTAAACTTCCCACCCTATTCCCTGGACACATAACCCTCCCTGCTTCAAGTACTTGAGTAGCTCCAATCTTCAACATTCTTTCAGTTTTTCCAGCAACACTGTCTCATTTCTGTCTTCATATCAACTGTTGGAGCACTCTTTTCCTTTACCTAGAACATTCTTTTCTCCTTGCCCAAGTACTTATACATCTGGCCAAAGGCTCCTCAGCTTCAGGTTCAGCTTTTATGGCACACCATCCAGGAAAACTTTCCCTTCTCCCAAGCCAAGGCTAGCATACACTGACCCTACACTGGATTCTATAGTAGTTACACTGGCCAATATTACAATGGCTGTTAACATGTCCACAGGTAACAGTAATCTGAAGTTCATAAAGCAGAGGTAATGCATCAAGTATCAGTAACTCTTTCTTAAATAAGCCAAATTACTGAGATGCAGTTCACACACGTTGAAATTTAGCCAAATTACTGAGATGCAGTTCACACATGTTGAAATACAGGAAGTTTCAGTTAGATGAATTTTGAGTTTGAACAACTACCAACCAAACAAAATAGAGAACATTTCAACATATAAACAATCACATCCTCTCATTCCTCACCAAAAGTTTACCACAACCACTACCGCCACCCTCATTCTCCAGCAAAAGTTAACCACACTTTTTGTCCTGGGCAGCAGGCTCTCATTTTCCTACCTCCACCAATCACTGATATGATCTGTTGCAGCAGTTTTGCCCACAATAAAATCTTACATGAAATAGTGTACCATTGACTTAGTATACTCTTGAACTGATTCCTTTTGTTACTTAGTTATAATGAATGAATATGTCATGTGTTTAATCCCGAAAACCTGCTGCTAGTACCATTATCTCCAACCTTTACCTTGCTAATAAAGCCATTGTGAACAGCAATATGCAAGTGTCCAAGATTTTCAAATTTCTAAATACACAGATACAAACAGCAATTAATATCATCTGAAAGCTGGCCAACTATTTTCTTGAAGTGACACTCAGTTTTAAACTCTCATCAGCAACATTTTACAGTTCTGGGTACTCAATGTCAAACTTTTTATCAGTCCTTTTCATTTTAGTCATTCTAGTGACTGTAAAGTAATATCTCTCTCTGGTTTTCATTTACATTTCCCTGATGACTAAACATGGTAGGCACCTTTTCATGTATTTATTGGTAATTTCATATGCTCTGCAAACTTTCTGTTCAAATCTTTTGCATTTGTTCCAAAGCAACTGACACATGAGGTAAGAGGCTGCGCATAATGTGAATTCTGTGTGTACTTATACAAATATTGCCCAAGAGAAGCAGCAGGTGCACTCCAATCTGTACCAGCTAAACAGATCTGAGTAGAAAACAGAAAGTCTGAAGCCTCCACACTGGAAATACTTGACGTTAGCAGCCACACTCTCCAACACTAGCCACTACAACTTCTGATTCCAAATAACCTTTCCACAGCTTCACAGCTGGCACGTGCAACCCATCTCCATAAGCAAACTTTTAGTCTTTTTCAATTTGAAATGCCATCCTTACTACAGTATTTACATACCTCTGTAAAACTGTGCTGTGGATTATGGCATTCCTATCTTGTTAGTTATATCATCAAAGCTTTTGAACTTGTCCCCATGGTTTTTAACTACACAATCTTACAAAACGTTTTTGCTTTGTTTTAAGGAAAACATGTTGGATTACAGCAGAACATCCTTGTCTCCTTCCTGACTCAAAACTATCATGTAGGGGTCTGGAGAGATGGCTCAGTGGTTAAGAGCACTTGCTGCTCTTGTCGTGGTCCCAGGTTAGGTTCTCAGCACCCGATGGCAGCTCACAACCACCTGTAAGTCTAGTTCCAAAAGATAAGACACCTCTTCTGGCCACTACAGGTAGTAAGCACACGTATGGTACACATACATTCCTTCAGGCAAAATATTCATACATATAAAATAAATCTAATCATTTTTAAAATATCAGTTAGGATGATTTTTGCTATGCCCTTGGTCAAACTAAGTGAATTCTCTTTTATTCCTAAGCTTGCTAAGGGTTTTGATGGCACTGGTTATTAAACTCTGTCCATTTTTCTTTTCTGTGTCTATTGATTTTGTTGTGTGGCCTTTCTATTTTATTTTGCCAATGTAATAAATTATGCTGATTGATGACTGAGTTTTGAATCAATCTTGTATTCATGAGATAAATTCAGCATAGTTTGTATCGTGCGTTTTCTAGGTACTGCGGTTCAATTTGCTGATTTTCTATTGAGGATTTTTATATCTAAGTTCATAAAAGATATTGATCTGCAACTTACTTTCAATTTCTTTAATCACATTAGAATCAGTTATTCAGGTTATTCAACAGGCTGGGAAATGTCTTCTGTATTTGAGTGTCTTTGTGCACTTCAAGCATAAATCCCATGCTCCCAGAACAGTGTCGGGCTAGCACACAGTAGGATCTCAGTATTTACTGAATTAACAGTTGTATTTTAACTTAGAATTCGGAATATTTTAATGTATGTTAAAACACACACAATTAAGCAACCTAGGTACCTAGGTGACACCACTAAAGCTTTTCTTTCAGTTGCTGAACAAGCCACGGGGGACATGCGGATGCCATGGAGGGAAGGAAGTCAGAGACCTCTACAGCAGGGACTGTATGTAGAGGTATGTAGAAACATGGCTGCAGTGACTGTGAAGCTGATGAGAACTACTGAGATGGCTATAGAGGCAACATAAAACTTATTAGAATATAATGGATGGAAAGGAAACAAACAAGGAACAGCAACAAAAAAACCTATGATGGCTGTAAAAGCTGATGCTATGTGTACCAAACTGTTATATCATGTTGAGTAGCCCATGTCAGTTTGCTGAGACTGAAACGGACTTGGAGGCTGGAGGGATTGCTCAGTAGTTAGGAACACTGTCAGAGGACCAGAGATCAGATTCCAGCAACCACACCAGGCACCTCACAGACTGCTACAACTCCAGCTCTAAGGGAACCACATCCTCTTCGAACCTGTACCTACCTAACTACACACACACACACACATACACACACACACACACACACAAGTTTTAAAAATTAAAAACAAAAGCAAATGAATCCATTTCAGTGAGACCCTTCATAAGTACTATATATAAAAGTACAGACCAATCTTACAAGGTGGCTACATTAACAACTGCCCTGAAATCCACCATGGCCCAGAAGCACATCAAAGTGTGCACTGTAATGGTGGTGGCTCTGAACTTTCCAGACTATTTGATAGAATAAATTACAGTAACCTGTTAAAATTTCATCCAATTACTAGAACTACTTTTTATTTCTAAAACTAAAAGGAAAGGCTTGTTGGACAATACTGATCCTTTACATCTGTTTGAAGTAGTTTCATTTTCATGACACTGTAAACTGCAATTGTTATATATACATGAAGCCCATTCTATATACATTATGGCAACTGAAACTCAGGCATATTAGGACTGAGGGTTTACCTGTACAGTGCTGAGATAACTAAGGTCTATAGTAACACACTGTTTTGCAAAGCACCTTATTGTAGATGCACTGGTATGAAGAAAAAGCATCATAGGAAGAACGGAGAGTGGTGTTTAGGACATAACTGAATAAGCAGCCCTTACATAACGACTCTCTCATGCTCTTTATGCTTCCCCACCTCCCACTGCCATCTGACAGCCTCTTGCTAGGGATAACTAAAGATGTTCTTCAGGAGCCTATAAAGTTGTTCGAATTGGAAGTAGGAGGGGTACTACACAAATAAAGAGGGAGGAAACCAGTATGTTAATTTTTTTATTATTTTTATTTCTTATGGTGGGTTTATGATGTAGTCAAAGTTGGACTCAAACTCCGTATGTAGCCCAAGCCCTAGCTGAGCTTGAACTCAAAATCTTTCTGTCTTTACCTCCTGGGTGCCAGGGTCACTCAGTGCATTGCTCTGCTCAGCTGTGACCAGTATTTTATAACTTCTTAGGACAAAATCAGGCAACATTAAATTTACCTGGCTTCAAAAACCACAGGAATGAAAGTGTCAAAACAGAGGCTCACCATATCTTTGGACTTCTGTCAAAGTAGCTACAGAACTTTTCAACAGTACTAGGTTGTTCTAATCTCTACTCTCAAGCCACATCTACACCTGGGATTTAGTTTTTATATTAGCTTAGAAATATAACTATATATATTAAATGTAAGTTATATATAACAAGTTCTATAACCTGTTGTAAATCTAAAACATGGTTTACTCAACTCTAAAAAGGAAAAGATATTTATATATTAAATGGTTTTGCCAAAAATTTGGAAGAAACTAAGAATAAATATCTCAGGGCAAACAGAACAGCTGTGGAGAGCTAGAGCATCAGTGATTGTCCTGGAGTGGGTGATTAGTCAGAGGTGGAAGCACAGGCCTACAATTCCAGCACTAAGCTGGCTAAGCAGGAGATCTACTTTGAGTTTGAGTCTAACCTAGACCACACAGTAAGTTCCTTGCCAGCATGGGCTACAGAGTGAGACCATGTCTTAAAAACAAACAAAATAGGAGAAACAATAAAAAAAAATTGAAAAAAAACCTCTAAACTATTAAGAACCACAAACGAAGCAAACAGGAATTGCTATTTAAACTATACCTTGAAATGTACTGTGATGTTCCAAGGAAGAGCTGAACTTGATGCAAGAAGATCAAATAGTAAACCAATTGGATAATGCCTAAAAATGAAAGGTATATCTTAAAGAGAGAAAAAAATACATAAATTTGTAACTAAAACCCCAAACAAATTTCCAGCACATTTTATCCCCCACTGTCACAGCCTTTGCTGGTTACTTACAGGAAAGTAACTTTATACAGCTGCTTGCCTGGCTCACTATCTGTACTCCATCCAGCTGCCAGCTGTTTTCCTTCTAAACTTTTACGTTTCCCACAGGAGTCCAATATACCCAAGGGGATTCTCATCAGTGCTATAGTGTAGTGTCGATTATCATCTGGTACTGATAAGAGGAGACTATTCTTTGTAAGTTAATTTCAATACTAAAATATCTTGTTTGTTTTTGAGAGGAACCCATTATGTACCTCTGGCTGGCCTACTCATATCTTAATCAGACTGGCCTAAACACATAGCAAAATCAATCCTTCTTTCTCTACCTCCTGAATTCTGGGATTATAGATGTGCACAATCACATCTGGCTTCTTAACAGCAACTGTTTTGTTCTGTTTTTGACATAGTATCTCAGTAGCTCAGACTGGCCTTGAACTGCTGGTCCAGGTGCATCAAGAGCTGTGTTGCTAAAGACACTTTTATCTTTTTCTTTTTAAAAGTAAAATAAGCAAATAAACTTTTGTTGTTGTTGTTGTTTTGAGATAGGGTTTCTTTGTAGCTTAGGAGGCTGTCCTGGAACTCACTCTGGAGACCAGGCTGCCCTTGAACTTACAGAGATCCACCTGTCTCTGCCTCCCAAGTGCTGGGACTAATGGTGTGCGCTGCCACCACCCAGCTAAGTAAATAAACTTATATTTATTTAATTTTATGTTGTAAGGGTGTTTTATCTTCAAGTATATCTGTGGACCATATGCATGTAGTGTCCTCAGATGTCAAAAAAGGGTGTCAGAACTCCTGAGACTGGATTATAGACAGTTGTGAGCCACTGTGTGGATGCAGTGAATCAAATGTGAGTTCTCTAGATCAGCAGCCAGTGTTCTTAATCAATAAGCCATCTCTCTAGCCCTTGCTTTTTATTTTCAAGATTTATAAATTTCTAAGTGTAAAGATAGGTACCTAAAGAGCATGCAAATCCAGTTTTATGATTATTTCACTTAACATTGTGTATGTATGTAAATATCCAGCCTTTTAACTATGAAGCATGTTGATACTGATTCAGAACATCCTTTAAAAAAAGCATCAAACCCTCTAGGCATGGTTGCACATGGCTATAATCCCAGCATTCAGGAAGGAGAGGCAGGATCCAGAATTAAATGGTCAACCTCAGCATCATAGCAAGTTGGACACCAGCCTGGGCTATGTGAAACCCTGCATATATAAAATAATAATAATGATAATATAAATAAATAAAAAGAAAGAAAAGGCTGGAGAGGTGGTTCAAGCAAGCCTGTCTACTTAATTCAACCTCCTGTTCCTAAATTAAGGAGAACAGACTCTATCCTCCACAAGCACTCCATTGAACATTCCCTACACACCAGACACACATGCATGAAATCAAAAGAAAAAAAAATGATCCATTACTGGAGTACTATTGCCCATGTCGTTTCATGGAAATAAATCTTTTTACCCAAAGAATCACCAAACTGAAGATTCACAGGTTATTTTTCATTGAGTAAAACAAGGGCAACAACTCTAACTGCAAACACAAGTAATTTAATGCATTTGCCTAGTTATAAAAGCCTGAGTCTGATGTCTGGTACTACCCTTGCACTTGAAAAAGCATTTTACAAAATAGTTTTTAAAATCCACAACCTGGGCTGGAGAGATGGCTCAGCTGTTAAAGACTAGGCTCACAACTAAAATCCACAACCTTACAAAAAATGAATAGAAAAGATAAAAACTACTGGAGATAAGAGAATAATCTACACAGTATTTACAGACTTAAGAGCATCCCACATTCTAAGGAGAACTATGAAAGTCTACACTGGGTATCTTGCTGGAATGTGCTCCTGAAATTGTATGTGATGCTTAGGCATTGTACTCCATCTAAGTTTAAGATCAGCAGTATTTCCTTTGTTTTTCAATTCAGAAGTCAGTTTTAAGCTCCTACTGCCATAGTCCACTCTGAAAATAGTTTACATAACATTTAAAAATCCCAAATCCCCAAATACCAAAACAAAAGACCTTTCTTATTTATGTACTCAAAGGTCGAAGATCTAATTTCTAATTCATTTTCTTTCTTCTCTCTACCATCTTTTTCTGCAGTGGTAGGGAATCAAACCCAGGGCCTTTTATAGGCTAGGCAAGAATTCCCCTATCAAGCAAGAAACACAGCCAGATTTTAACCATTAACAGGGTTTACTGCAAAAGGAGTCTTGAGCTGTTACAGTAGTAAAGTATCAAATACAAATGATGACTACTTAAGCTGTAGTAATAAGAAACTTCCCTCTGTAGCACGCAGTGTTAGAGCACCCTCTACTGTCCAGTCAAATCATTCAAAAGTTAAGATTTTGAGATGCATCAACACTTCTGTTTCTCAGATAATTTTTAAGAGTTAGTAAGACAATGCACTAGGGCTGGCAATGGGCCCCATGACAAACCACTTGTAGACTACAAGAGGCTGTGTCTTAAAAGCTATCTGTGCATCAATAACATTGTTTTCTTCTGGAGACGGGGTCTTTCTGCAGAGCTCTAGCTGTCATGAAACTCACTATGTAAACCAGGTTGCCTTATACTCACAGAGATCCACCTTCCTCTGCCTCCTGAGTGCTGGAATTAAAGACATGTGATATCATGCTGGGCTTGTATCATTAACTTTCTGGGAATTCAGGGTGTCAACTACTTTCAATAGCTTTTTTATTATAATTTGGGCAAATTAAGATAAGCAAATAGGAAATTAGAGAACAGAATAGGGGAAAATGCTAAGTAGAATGCAAGAAGTTAGGGCACAAAAGGCCATGATCTGAAGCTCTCAATGCCCAGGTCGTGCCAAGCATTCTGGAGCATATCAGTTATCCCAATAGCTTAGAGGCCACAGGAGAAAACAGCCATGATTTCACACAGCCTAAATAGAGAGTGAGCTTCCCACTGGCCTGGGCTACAGAGAAAGAACCTGTTTGGAAAAAAAAAAAAAAAAAAAAAAAAAAAAAAAAAAAAACACAACAAAAAACCCAAACATACAAAAAAATGACTTTCCAGAGAGCTGAGAATGGCTGAAAATGAAGCTTAGTGGAATAGCAATTTGCCTAGGAAGCCCAAGACTAGATTGTTCAAGCCCCAATGATGGGTACAGGGTGGTGGTGGTGGGGCCTTCTCAAGGGATAAATGCCAAATCACTCTTTTGCAGTAAAGAAGAAATTGGTCCAAACATTACTCTAGTAGACACATCTTATTAACATACTAACCTTATAAGCTAAATCGCAGAAGTTCACTCCTTTTAAGTTGTCCTCAGATTTAAGTCATCTGCACAATAAGGTTATTTACACCTAAAAAGTTTCCTGTTATTTCCTAAGTCTCTTTCTTTTATCTTCTCCTCAAAAAATATTTTATTTATCTACCTATTTATTTATTTAATGTATGAGTGTTCCATCTGCACCTACAACTTTATGCCAGAAGAGGGCATCAGATCCCACTATAGATGGTTTTGAGCCACCATGTGGTTGCTGGGAATTAAATCCAGGACTTTTGGAAGAACAGCCAATGTTCTTAACTGCTGAGCCATCTCCAGCCCCCTAACTCTCTTTCCAAGCCTCTTCATTTTATTATTCCTAGACTGAGGACAAGTATTTTTAACCTATTTGTACTTTTCAAATTCCATTTAGTCATCTTAGTCAGCATCTGTCTGCAATCAAGGACACACACATAGGGGTATTCGAATACAGGACCCAGGCTATCTTGAACTATTTATTTCATAGCCTTTGGCTCACAGCTTCTCTACTTTAAATATTTTGGAAGCACAATAAATAACACTCTCAATAACAGAAAAATACCAAAACCTTATCTGCACATGGATAAACTGAAATTTAGGACTGTTTTCAAGAATCTTAAAAATAGCATAATAGCCAGGGTATAGAACTGGAGAGATAGCTCAGCAGTTAAGAACATAAATTGGGCGTTTGAAAGATGGCTGAGCAGTATAAAGCACTTGTTGCTCTTGCAGAAGATCCAGGTTCAATTCCCAGCACCTACAAGGTGGCTCATAACCATCTGTAACTCTACTTCCATGGGATCCAATGCACTGTTCTGATCTCTGTGGACACCAGGCATACAAATGGTACACAAATACATTCAGCAAAACACTCATACATCTATAAAAATTAACAAAACAAAGCTGACCTTGCAAAGGACCCAAGATCAGTTCCCAGTACCTATATGGGGTGGCTCACAACCTGTAACTCCTGCTTCAGAGTATCTGATGCTCTCTCTGTCCTCCATGGGCACTGCACGTCTATGTACATACACACACATAATTAAAAATAAAAAAAAAACTGTTTAACAAAAGAAAATACATTAATCTATCACCCAGTCACCCATGCATACAAGCAGAAGGCAGAATTCTTTTTTCCCCCTTTCTATGACAGTGTATATGAGAAAGGTCATCCAAACCTCAGTACTTTCATACTGGGTCCCTAGCTAATGGTACTGTTTGGAAAGACAGATTTTTTGGAGGGGTGGAGAGGAAGGATGGCTGGAGACATGGACAGGGTCTCATGTAGATCAGGCCAAACTCATTACATAGCCACAGATGACAAACTTCTGACCCTCTGGCCTCTACCTTTTGAGAGCTGGGATTACAGGTGTGCCTCATCACTCCTGGTTTCCCAAGTGTCAGAAACTAAATCCAGGGCTTAGAAGATGCTAGACAAGGCAGAATATTGTCTGTAAAATATTGTTTAATGGTTTAACCTTCACATCTAAGTTAAACTAGTCATGTCTTTCCTGTTCTGTTTTGTTTGAGAGGGTCCTGCTATATGGCCTTGGCTTTCCTGGTATTTGATATATTGACAAGGGCAGCCTCAAATTGTGGTAATCTCCTGCTTCAACCTCTGAACTGGTGATTGCAGGTGTGTGCTACCATGCTTGGCTTCATTTCTTTCTTTGTAGAACTTTTTACGACCGTCCCAGGGCAGTACACCTTTTTAAAGCTAGCGTATACTTGCTGTTTAACAATGAAGAAATTCACTCACCATTTCAGGGGTGTGCCTTCGTACTCAAACCATATCTCACTGACGTCCTCCTGTCTCATAGCCTTCTGAAAGTGCTTTTTCACTTTATCAGTTACCAACGTCAGATAACTGACTCTTGGTAAAAGCAACTGAAATGAAAAATGTTAAAGCCATATTTACTTACTCATTATTGTTTCAAAACTAAGACATATTAAGCCTATTAATTTTAAGGAAAACAGTGGTGTTCTTTGCATTGTTTTGACTACCTCAACTGCAAGCCATCTGCTTTGTATAGAAAATTCAAAGCTAGAGTTTAAAATAGTGAATGTTTCTAACTGGGTTATAACTTCTAAGTAGAGTTTAGGGCATATATGCTTATAACTGACACAAATCTACAATTTTCTTTCCCATTTTATAGAATACATAATACATGTCATACTAATTAAGATATTAAGTAATTCTATCAAATTTGTCTTAAATATTAAATGATTCATACAAGTATTATCACCTTTTTACATAGAGCTTAATGTTTAATATACTAAAATATATTTATAATACTTTAATTTGTGTGATGATTGACTGATTGACTTTAATTGTCAACTTGATACAATCTAGAATCGACTGGCAGGAGAGTCTCAATGTGGTACTGTCTACCCAGAGTTGGCCTGTGGGTAAGGCTATGGGTGATTTTTGCCTTGACTGTGTGAACTAATGTGGGACAATGCAGCTCACTGTGGGAGACATGATTCCCTGGGTTTAGGCTCTGGACTGGCTAAGAGTGGGGAAGGTAAAATGAACAGTAAGCGTGCATGCATTCATTTCTGTCTGTCTTCACTGTGGATATGGTGTAGCAGTTGCTTCAACTTCCTGATGCCTTGACTTCCCAATAATAATGGACTGTAACCTGGAATTAAATAAATAATTACAAATTATTTATTTAAAAACAAACCCATTCTTCCCTAAGTTTATTTCACCAAAAGAAAACTAGAATTTTGGCCAGGACCAGGTGTACACCTTTAGTTCCAGCACTCAGGAGGCAGAGTCAGGAGGATCTCTGATTTTGAGGCCAGCCTGGTCTACACAGCAAGATCCAGGAGACACACACACACACACACACACACAGATCGGGAGGGAGGGGAAATTTCAATTTAAAATATCTACTATTACAGTAATAGTTTACTCTGCAGAAAACAGTACTAACCTGCAGAGATGGCAAGAAGGAAGACATACTACAACTAGAGTGCAAGGGTCTCAGCTGCTGATTCTGGAGAGCACACACTATCATCTAAGGCCCAAACTGGCTCAAGAATTCACAAATGGGCCAGGCACGGTGGCACTCAACTTTAGTCCCAACACTCAGGAGGCAGAGCCAGGAGGCCTGAGACTTGACAGTGAGACCCTATCTCCAAAAGAGGAAGAGGGAAGGGGAAGAGAAGGAAAAAGAGAAACAAGAAAAGCAACTGGTGTTGGGGCTCAGGTTACCACCTGGGATGTGAAGGAAAAGGGACCAGGAGGCTGCATGAAGTTATCACCTTCTGCTACACAGCATGCTCTAGGCCAATAGGATTTTTTTCCCCAAGGAGTGGAGAACAGCTCAGTGGTTAAGAATGCTTTATTGCTCTTGCAGAGTACCTGGGTTTGGTTCCCAACACCCACATGGTGGCTCACAGCTGCCTGCAACTCCAGTTTCAGGGTATAAGACACTATTTCCCAACCTCCAAGGCTTCCTGCACATAAGTGGCACATATATATATATATATATGTATGTATGTATGTATGTATGTATGTATAGGGCATAGTGGTAAAGAATATATATATATCTTTATTCCCAGCACTAGTGAGACCTAAGCAAAACATTACAAGTTCAATCACACAGTCACTAACTCTTTATTTTATTTGTATTTATGTGTATGTGGTGTGTCATCCATGTGTAGGTGTCCAGAGGCTAGAAGAGTGTGTAGGACCCCTGGGTGGTTGTGACCAATCTGATGTGTGCTAGAAATGGAAGTGAGGTCCTTTGGAAAAGCAGCAAGCACTCGTAACTGCTGACCCATCTTACCAGCACATTGACTGATTTGTGTGCGTGTGTCTGTGGTGTGTGTGGGCATGCATGTATGTCTGTAGTGTGTGTATTTGTGGTGTATCTGTGATGTGTATGTGTGGTCTATGATGTGTGTGCATTCACCCATTCTTTTGCCACTGTCAACTTTATTAGAAACAGCTAGAAAACAACTCATTTTGCCTCTGCGGGCTACTGGGTAAACAGGAAGAATATCATCTCATTGACAGACACATAAATGTGGATAAAGAAAAGCAAAGTAAAACCAGGAGAACCTTGAAATTTGTTTTTAAAACAAAGAATGCAGGGTGGATGTGGAAGCACATGCTTTTAATCCTAGAATTCAGGAGTCTGAGGTATGTGGTGTGTGTGTGTGTGTGTGTGTGTCTGTGTGTCTGTGTGTGTGTCTGTGTCTGTGTGTCTGTGTCTGTCTGTATGTGTGCAAATATATGGTATTTGGAAGCTGAAGACCAAATCCAGGGCTGCTCCACTAAATGTTAAGAAAATATTATATCACTTTGTTTCACTCTAAGCCCCAATATTTTATTAAACATGCAAGGTCATACTATATTATGATCATACATTATATCATTAGGTCATATGTAACATTTGATCAATTTTTATTTGTGCATGTGCATTCATAAGTTCATGCAACTATAAACATATTTGACTAATTAGTTGCTTGGAACCATCTAAATACTTAAAAAAAAAAAAAATCCAATATGTGGTTGAGAGCAGAGGACATGGGTTCAGTTCCCAGTCCCCACATGACAGATCATAAGTGTCCTTAACTGTAGTTCCAGAAGGTTAAGACACCCTCTTGTGGATTCCTCAGGTACTGCAATCATATAGTATACTTGAGGGAAAACACCCATACATAAAAAATGAATAAAACTTAAAAAAATTCAACCTGAACCTATTATTAAAAATAGCTTCCTACTAAAACACAGTGCATAACTTATGATTCCACTGTTGTGGGTGTGTTAGGTACTGACATCCTAAGCCTGTGCTCTATCATTGATACAGCCCTAGCCTGACTCTACTCTAATAATACACATGAATACATACACACACAAAAGAACATGTATCAGTCTGTCTGCAGTGACTAGTGCGTACACGTTGTGGGTAGCATGATTAGAGGGGATTTTTTATGTAAAGATCGGTTATTGTTTTAATTATTATGTGCATGTATCTATCTCTGTTTGTGCAGGTACCTGTGAAGGGTAGAGCCATCAGTTCCTTCTGCAGGAGTTGTAGCTGCCAATGTGGGTCCTCTGCAAGAAGACAATTGCTCAACTGTCTCTCCAGCCCCTATTTATTTATATTTATTTATCCATGGTATGTCTGGTGCACATAGGTGGAAACCAATGGTCGGTGTCAGATATCTTCTTCCATCACTCTTCACCTAGTTTTTCAGATTTATTTTATGTGCATGAGTGCTTTGCCTGCATGTATATATGTCCAGCACAAGAATGCCTGGTGTCCAAGGCAAGAGGTGGGTGTCAGAGCCCCTGGAACCCAAGTTACAGATGGTTGAGCCATCATGTAGGTATTAAGAATGGAACCATGGCCCTCTGCAAGTGTTCTTTCTAAAGCACTGAGCCATCTTTCCAGGCACTCTCCACCTGAAACACTGGTTTGGATAGCCTGGCTGGCCAGCAAGCCCTAGGGACTATCTGTCTCTTCCTCCCCAGAGCTGACACAACAGTTTCTAGGTGAGTCCTGGAGAATCGGACTCAAGCCTTACACTTGCCTGCTAAGCATTTGACCACTTGTGATAACCCCAGTCTTCTAACTTTTCCTATAGCATGGGACAATTGAATCTAAAACGCTGGCTGAGTGACAGCCTTCAGGTTCTAACAATCTTATTTACAATAGCCAAGTTAAAGAGCTCATTTGTAACAACCAATATACTTACATAGTATGGCTCTGCTTCCCTTTCAGTTATCTCATCCTGATACAGTGTAAAGCAAGTTGGAATTCGTCCAAACCATACATCTCGAAGCACATCTTTGTCATCTGTCATTCTTCCAGTGGGTAAAGCAGTACATATATGCTAAGTTCTGTCTTCAACCAAAGCCAAACTGGAGATAAAATAAATAGCATTAGTCAGAGACTTACAAGAATTAATGAAAAGACTTCACAGACAGAAAATTAACTCCAAAAAAGTTCACCTAGCCGGGCGTTAGTGGTGCATGCCTTTAATCCCAGCACTCGGGAGGCAGAGGCAGAGGCAGGCAGATCTCTGTGAGTTGGAGGCCAGCCTGGTCTCCAGAGTGAGTGCCAGGATAGGCTCCAAAGCTACACAGAGAAACCCTGTCTCGAAAAACCAAAAAAAAAAAAAAAAAAAAAAAAAAAAAAAGTTCACCTAAAGAAAAGGTGGAGTGGGGGCACACATCTTTAATTCCAGGACTCAGGAGGGAGAGGCAGGCAGATTTCTCTGCATATGAGGCCAGCCTGATCTCCAACACAGAAAGAAAACAAAAGGATAAACACCAGGAGAAGTCATATACACCTCTAATACCTACACTAGAGAAGCTGAGGAAAAAGAGCAGAAACAAGCTTGAGCTATTCAGTAAGGTGTGTGTGTGTGTGTGTGTGTGTGTGTGTGCGTGCGCGCGCGCGCGCGTGCGTGCACACCTGCACATGTGTATAATGTTACACATCCAACTAATATGTAATGAGAGCCATATCAAGATAGAAACTATATTTTTGTTACCCTTTCAAGCCCCATAGTCTCATTATTCACCTGGAGGACAGCCCTGTCCCTAAGTCCTATGATCTTAATCCAATTTCAAAAGATCACTAACACAATTACACTTGCCCCATTCAACATATTTGACCTCTCCTACCCTTCCTGGAAAGGAAACCCAAACATTTGTTTGGGGCTGCAGATGAGCTCAGTTGATGGTGTGCACCAATCAAGAACTGGGGGTGGTCCTGCATGCCTGTGAGCCTCACCAGGCCAGTCTAACCCTGTCTGAAGAAAAAACGATCTGTTCACATGAGAAAAACCTCTAGGAAGCCTATTTCCCGTTCTAAATTTCATCAGATCCATAATTTAATCCCACCAACATTTCCAGTTGTAGTTATTATACTTCTTTTTATAATCCCAATGTCTAGCTGCTGTGCTTCCCCCTGCCTAGCATGCTGCTATTTTCTCCACCTCTTATCTACTCTGTAAAGTGAACTAACAGTGTGCTGTCTCAGTGAAATACTTCTCCAAATGCCAACACTAACCCTGCACATGAGAACAGTTTTAGTCTCAGGGAAGGACAATTCTTATGACTTTAAGACACCCCAGTATCTTCCACTGTTCATACCCTCGGCCACCTGTGCACATGCTGAGATACATACTGCTGATAATTATTAGAGTAACCCTAAGAAGTGCTACCTGCATAGTAAGGTTCAATATATTACCAAATAATGTTCCACTTTTGCACCAGCTTCATGGGCAGTTAATTCATAATGTATTATAATGTATAATGAAAAATCCTAAATAATTGTATGATACCCCCAAATATTATGGGTCAAGGCAGGCATCAGTTTAAAATTCTTTTTAGATTTACAATTTTATGTTTATGAATGTTTTGTCTACATGTATGTGTGTGTACCACATGCATTCCCGGTGCCCTTAAGAGTCTAGAAGAGGATGTCTGATCCCCTGACACTGCAGTTGTAAGCCACAATGTGAGTGCTAGGAATTAACCCGGGTCCTCAGCAAAAGCAATGAGCGTTCCTATCGCTGAGCTGTCTCTCCACCGAGAGACACTGATGTAACACTGAGGTACATCAAGAAGCTTGTTTCAACCTTCTCTTCTCCACCAGTGCCAAATACAATGGGATTGTTATCAATTAATCAAAAAGTTAAAGGTCAATCAGATGCAGGGCATTCTCACATAGCACATTGCAAGAGGTAGGAAAAAATCTGCTTAATGTCAAATTATTGGCACTAGTTAACTCAGAGTACAGACTCTGTACTTAGCAGTGTCTCAACTTTTATTAAATATATACAAGTGTTTTAAGCAAGTAATATGTAAATTTCACTTAGTATCACAGTGAGACTTCAAATGTAAGCATGCTTGAATTTTACACTCACAAGAAAATTTCTGGGTGCACAGATCACTCAAATGAACTTGCTAAAAATAGGAAGCTCCTCACCACTTCCTGACTTAAGGCAAGAACCTGATCTTCAGAGTGCATGTCCAGGCTGCAGAGATGGCTCAGCAGTTCTGAATGCCTACTGCTCTGCAGTTCGAATGTCTACTGCTCTTCCAGGAGACCTGAGATGGCTCAGCAGTTCTGAATGCCTACTGTTCTTCCAGAAGACCTGAGCTCACTTTCCAGCACCCAGACTGGGTTCCTCACAAGCACCTGTAAGTCCAGTTCCCAGATCCAATCTCCTGTTCTGACCTTTTTCAGCACCAACAAATGTGAGTCATAAATTCACATGGGCACACACTGAAAAACATAAATGCTAAAAACCTGAGTAAAATAAATGTCAAAAAGCAAAATAAATTTTAATTAAATAACATTATACAAGTTTAGCTGGCTATGGACTAGTTAGCTGGCTCAGTGGGTAAAAGCACTTGCTGCCAAGCCTAATAATTTGAGTTAGATTACTGGGAGCTACACAGTGGAAGTAGAGAACTGACTATACTGCTGTCCTGACTTCTGCATACATACAAGGCACATATGTGCACACATGCACACATAATACTCTAAGTAAATGAATATTAAAGAAATTTAAACACAACAGTGTATTCTCAGAGAAAGAAATCAGGAAAAGTATTCATAATAACTCCCCAAAAGTTAAGTGTTTAGGAATATACCTAACTGAAGAAGTAAAAGATCTCAATGAAAAATTCAAGATTCTGAAAAAGGAAATCACAGAAGACGCTAGATGATGGAAAACGTTCCATGATCCTGGGTTGGCAGAATTCATACTGTAAAAATGTTTATACTACTAAAATCACTGCCAAAATTCCATTATCATAGTTCACAAGAAACAATACAAGAATTAACATGGTAACACAAAAGATCGCAAATAGCCAAAGCAACCTTAAGGAGTCACAACACAATACTGGGGACCTGACATTATACTATAGGGCCAGAGTCATAAAGACAGCCTGGTGCAGGCATGAAAATTCACAGGAAGACCAATTAGAAAGACGGAACTTCTCATGAACAGTGATGCAAAAAGACTTAACAAAATACTGACAAACCTAGGCAGTGGTGGCGCACACCTTTAATCCCAGCACTCAGGAGGCAGAGGCAGGAGGATTTCTGTGAGTTTGAGACCAGGTCTACCAGCATTAGTTCCAGGACAGCCTCCAAAGCCATAGAGAAATCCTGTCTCGGATTAAAAAAAAACAAAAAAACAAACAACAACAAAACCAAAACAAAACAAAAACCAAACAACAAACAAAAAACAAAACAAAACTGGCAAACCGAATCCAAGGACACATCATAAAAAATAAAAAAAGAAAGTCATCCACCATGATCAAGAAGGTTTCATTCCAGAGATACAGGGATGGTTCAACATATAAAAATCTGTCGATGTAATCAGGAGCATCACCATACCTGACTTCAAGCAATACTATAGAGCTATAGTAATGAAAACAGTTTGGTATTGGCATAAAAACAGACATGTGGATCAACAGAATTGAATAGAAGAACCTGACATAAACCTGATTTTTGAAAAAGAAGCCAAAAGTATACAATGGAAAAAAGAAAGCATCTTCAACAAAATGTGCTGATATAGCTGGGTGTAGGCATGTAGAAGAATGAAAATAGATCCCTATCTACTGACATGCACAAAACTCACGTCCACCTCAACATAAATCCAGTTACAATGACCCTGATAGAAGAGAAAGTGGGGAATAGCCTTGAACGCATTGGCACAGGAGACTACTTCCTAAATATAACACCAGTAGCACAGACACTTTGATCAACAGTTAATAAAAGGGACCTCCTGAAACTGAAAAGCTTCTGTAGGGCAAAGGACACGGTCAACAAGACAAAATGGCAGCCTACAGAATAGGAAAAGACCTTCACTAACCCCACATCTGACAGAGGACTGATAACCAAAATATATAAAGAACCCAAGAAACTAGACAGCAAAATACTAAATAATCCAGTTAAAAAATGGGGTACAGATTTAAACAAAGAATTCTCAACACAAGAATCTTGAATGGCCAAGATACACTGTTCAACATCCTTAGTTATCAGGGAAATGTAAATCAAAACAACTCTGAGATACCATCTTATACCTGTCAAAATGGCCAAGTTCAAAAAATGTTAATGACAGCCTATTGGAGGGGATGTGGAGTAAGGGTAATACTACTCTACTGCTGAGGGGAGTGCAAACTTGAACAGCCACTTTGGAAATCAGTATTTTAGTTTTTCAGAAAACTGGGAATCAATCTACCTCAAGAACCAGCGTATATAACACTCTTGGGCATTCACCCAGAGATGCTCAAACCATACCACAAGGACACTTGCTCAACTATGTTCATAGCAGTATTATTCATAGTGGCCAGAACCTGGAAACAACCTAGATACTCCTCAATGGAGGAATGGATAAAGAAAATGTGGTATACCTACACAATGGAGTATTACTCAGTTGGGGAAAAAAAATGGCATTGTGAAATTTGCAGGCAAATGGAACTAGAAAAAAATCATCCTAAGTGAGGTAACCCTGACCCAGAAAGACAAACACAGCATGTACTCACTCAAGTGGGTATTAGATGTAAGGCAAAGGATAACCAGGCTACAAGCCTCAGCCCCAGAGAAGCTAGGTAACAAGGAGGACCCTAAGAGGGATGCATGGATCTCCCAGGGAAGTAGATGTGGTGTTCTGGGTAAACTGGGGGTGGGGAGGAAGTTGAGGGGAGGAGATGGGGGATGGGAACATGGAATCAGGATGGTCGAGTTGTGGACAGGACAGTGAAGGAGAGTGATGGAGAATTTTGATAGAGGGGTTAGGTAGAAACCCATTGTGGGGTTAGGTAGAAACCTGGTGCCAGGGAAACTCCCAGGAACCCACAAGGATAACACCAGCTAAGGCGCCTAACAATCATGG